CTCGCCCTTGGCTTCAATGGCTGAAGTTAGGCCTAGAACCCACTTGCTAATTTTCTTCTTGGGTGCATTCCTCTGTTTCTTTAGCGGCAAGTCATCATCGTGGCTCATCAACGAGGAAGATAATGGAGCTAGTATGGTCCAAACGCGGAGGGGTTCCACTGGGAGCTGTGATTTATCTGTTGGTAAATGGGTATCTGATCAAACGTATCCTTTGTATGATTCTAACTGCCCCTATCTGAGTACTGCAGTAACTTGTCAAAGGAATGGACGGCCTGATTCTAACTATGAGAAGTGGAGGTGGAAGCCAAATGGGTGTTCTCTTCCGAGGTAACTCAGAACAGAAATATTGATACCTTATCCTTGCTGTAATAGTAAGAGAAAACTGCTACATAATGACCATTTCCAAGCTGAATGTGAATGATCAAATGTTTTAAACGTTGCAACAATGATGACAATTTTCAAGCTTTATGAGATCTTAGCTGTAAATTTAAGCCATTCAGAAAATGTTGCAACAAATTTTCTCTGCCCTGGTTTTGTGATTCAGGTTTAATGCCTTGAAATTTCTTGCTAAGATGAGAAGGAAAAGGATAATGTTGGTGGGTGATTCAATTATGAGGAACCAATGGGAGAGTCTTGTGTGCTTGGTGCAAGGAGTCATACCTACTGGGCATAAGAAGGTGACCTACAATGGTCCTTCCATGGCCTTCCATGCACTGGTGAGATATCTATGTGTAGTTTAAAATTTGTGTCTGAGTGTATACTTCTGCTAACTGACAATTTACAAGGTTGAAGTTTTAACATAAATTTCAAAGATTCTTATACCTCGAAATAACAGTCTCTTTTGTTTGTTGGTGATGCTTTTAAATTTTCCTTTTTCTTGGAATATCATAGTAGAGTATGTTGTTGACAGGATTTTGAGACTACTATTGAGTTTTCTTGGGCTCCTCTACTTGTGGTACTGAATAAAGGACCTGACAATAAGAGAATCCTACATTTGGATTCGATCGAGGAGAATGCAAGATTTTGGAGAGGAGTTGATGTTCTTGTGTTTGATTCAGCACACTGGTGGACTCATTCCGACCAATGGAGTTCGTAAGATATATTTGGCCATCACACTCTTTCATGCTATACTTAATATTTCATTTCATCTATGCATGTTACTGTGTGCGTGGCCGTCTATATTTGTGTTGATGAAGATAAGGAAACAAACAATTCTCAGCAAGTTAAACTTGTTTGCTAAAGTGAGACATTTCAAACTACATCCTGGAAGCATTTTAGCATGTGTTATTCCCGGAAAACCACCAATCGTATCCCAGAGTGCTTAAGAGGTGCATATGAACTATCAGTATGAAACTGACGGTCTTAATTGAAAAGTTATTCTGAATGCAGGTGGGATTATTACATGGAGGGAAAATCACTCTATAAAACAATGAATCCAATGCTCGCATACCAGAAAGGACTCACTACATGGGCAAAATGGATAGAGTTAAATCTTGACCCTCGCCAGACCAGAGTGATATTCAGAAGCATGTCACCTAGGCACAACAGGTATCAATGAATCATCCCCATCATGTAATTTTCCAGTAGTTCTTACAATGCATTTCTTGACATAGCTGAATTTTTTGCAGAGACAATGGCTGGAAATGCTACAACCAGAAAACCCCCCTAGCATTTTTCAGTCACCCCCATGTTCCTCAACAGTTACTGGTGCTAAAAGGAGTGTTGAGAAGAATGAGATATCCAGTATATCTCCATGACATAACAACCATGTCAGCTTTCCGTAGAGATGGGCATCCGTCTGTGTATAGAAGGGCTTTAGACCAAGAGGAGAAGCAGCATCCACAATCATTTTCCTCTGATTGCAGCCATTGGTGCCTCCCAGGAGTCCCTGATATTTGGAATGAGATGTTGAGTGCACTGCTCTAGGTGAAAATCTCATAAAATTTGAGAACTGTTCTACTAGACATAGCCTTTTTTTTCATCTCATGATTTGTGTGTTCAGCGAGTTGATGTACGATAATGTTGTCAAAGAATGATGTTATGTTTGGCTTGTGAAATTCAGAGATTCAAGCAGCCTTGAATTGTATTATAATATGTTTTCCATCTGTCCCTGACTTATGAACCTACTTTATACTACTAAAGTTAATCATACCTGCACATTGATTCTGAGCAAACCCTTCTTCCAAAATGTCTTTAGCAGAAGACAGGAGTCTTGATTTTCACTCTAAATTGATAGCTCTTAACTTTTTCCAAAAGGATGATGTCAACTAGTTTTGCTTTTCCACCATCACTGTGATTATAACAGGAGTTTACTTTTTTTTTCTGCCGTGGGAGAACATGTGGCTTTATTGTATGAAACGTTTGAAATGTAAAATGCTAATACTTTTTAACAAAAGATAAAAATGTTTCGCTGTCTTATTACCTTTAAAATTGTTTTAACAAATTTAGAATAAATAGCATGGCATTAACAACAGCTGAAACACTCATCTAAGCTTCAAAGAGGCAACTTGCCCTGACCATCTAACTCAATTCATGGGGAGAAAACTTCCACCTCAACTTGGCAATTTCGTTAGAACTCAATCCAAAAGCCTTTTCCAAAAGCTCTTCTTTGATCCCAGAACCAAATACAGCATTTGGAATCCTCTGCAGTCCTGGATTCTGGCTATTAAAACTCCCCAAGATAGTCGCTGTTGTATCTCCAACGTTCATCTGGAAGTGCACAAGACCTCTAGGAAACACCATAACCTCACCCTTCTCAAGCACTTTAGCAAATATCTTGTTGTCTGTATCAACAAATCCAGAATAAATCTTCCCCTCAAGAACAAATGCTACCTCAGTTGCTCTTGGATGGAAATGAGGTGCATTGACACCCCCAATTTCAAAATCAGCTCGAACAAATGACATGCCTAGCGTATTCAAGCCCGGAAACACATTCACATTCACTGGCTTGGATGATAAACCTGTCTCACTGAAATTTCCAGGAAGCTTTATGCCAGAAAACACGAAATCTTCAACCGTGACAGTTGATGAGTTCTTGCACTGAAGGGAGTTGATTGCAGATGCTGCGCCGGCTATGCAGAAGTCTCGGACAGGATCTGGATCTGAAGCCAAAGTCATGATTGCAAAGCTTTGGAGGAAGATAACCAGCAGAACTGCTGATTTGAAGGACATGTTTCTCTATCTTTCAAAAATAGAAGATGAAGATTGCTACATCAAAAACGGGTGGCTATTGCCCTAGTTATATATGGTCAGCTCTCTCTCCAGCAATATATTTTTGCTTGGCAACATGTACGCCGACTCCTGTTTACTTATTAATTTTTGTGGTGGAGTATTAGTCAGAATTGTCCCACGTTATCTGACAACACGTATACCCAAAGATAGAATATAATATAATTCTTCCACCATGGAGATTCCATTCCAACTGCTACAGAGGACAACAGTAATAAAGTCTTTCTTCTTTTTCCCTCATTGGCTTGCTGGCTTGCTACAGCTAGCCAATATGAACCCAAATAAAAAGAATTAATTAAATGGTTTCTTTTTATTCTGCTTTTATTTTTCTTTTTCTTTTTTTTTTTTGAAAAATAAGAATGGGAACAGAGAATTTGGTTCATCCTATTCAAAAACGAAAATGAAAAAAAAAAAATTTTTTATCATAAAAGGGGCAAGTAATAGCTATTGTCAAAATACTGTAGCAGTCAACAGAAAACCTATGTGAATACATTGTGGCTTAGAGACTATTTATCACGAATCATAAACGTGGAACAAAAGCTATCAGGGGAAAAACTATCAGCAGGTAGCAAAGCACAATGGATAGTTTCGAAAATCATGGTTCTCAGTCAAATGGTATTAAGCTTTCAGGGTAAACAATGGGAAACAGTCGCAAAGTTTTCGTTCCAATACGTCCTAGAATGCAGTTGAGGGAGACTGGACTCAAAAACTTCGAGAAGATACAACTAAAGAAGTTTGAGCTCAAAGATGAGTTGGTACAGATCCGTTACATTGGTCTTACAGCATGAGGAGTACTTGGATTTGGGGTATCAATAGCTGTCAATGTCAGTTTCTGGCCTTCTAAGGTAGTAACGCAGGCAATTCACAAGCACCTGCAGGTTGGACCAAACAAAAAGTGTTGAGAGAATGAAAGAACCAGCAGGAAACAGGACTGGAAACTGGAAACATGTAATCCCTGCTAGATCATGAGTGCCATGAGCCAAATTAATTCCAGAGTTCATACAGCTATGTTACTTGAGAAAATGTTGATGACCAATCATTATGACAGCAAAAATGAACATTTTATTGTTGAACAAACTTTTTGATTATTAAACACTCACCTCTGACAAAGATCTGTTTAATGCTTGTCCTCTGTAGCTAACATGAAACTTATCTTTAGCCACCAATCCCTGTTAATTGCAGAAAAACTTGATGATTAGCATATGGATAACTAGAGAGAGAGAGAGAGAGAGAGAGAGAGAGAAGGGGGATAGGTATAGGAAGAGAGATACTTCTGTATCAATCTCTGCAGATTCCACATCAATATTGATATCAGCAATGATTTTGATGATCTCAACCAGCAATCCAGGTCGATCTGCTGTCTCTACACAAAGCAGGCTGATAACAGACAGAACAAATACGTAAGTAGATGATTGATGTGTTTCTGCAAGTTCATAAGAGATCCATAAATTATCAATTATGCTTCTCTCCAGTTGAACTGAGAAAGAAGCTAGAGTAAAGGGAAAGAAAGGAAGGGGGGTGCGGGGGAAGTAAAGGTGGCCCATGAATTATATGTTCAAATCCACCTCAGGCAAAATATTTAAAGTTCCAAACCTCTTCTTGGGTCCATCTTTCTTGACATGCACATGAGTTGCAATATCGATATCAAGCTGCCATCAAGAAATCAAAAAGTAAGACATAATGGGAACATATTCTCATAACCTGACTGAAATAAACCTTGATAAACACAAGACAAGAAAAAAATATGAGCCAAATTACAACAAAGAGAAGAATTTATAATGCAAATAGAGTATTTCAAAACATTACCTTCTTCTCTGGAGCCTTTATTCCAAAAGCCTCACCCATGGCAAGTTGCTCACTAGATTCCTAGAAAGCAGGAGAAAGAAACAAAGATGCCTAAGTAAACAAGGATGCATTTCATAAAGAATACAGAAAAAGGTATAAAATTTAACTACATTACATCCATCCCCATTTCATCCACAGCGTGTAGAACATACAAGAGAGTTAGCACACATACTGGATGGTACTTTAAGAGATTATTAATGATGGTTAGTCGAATTCTCTCCAACATATCTGGATCTTCAACTTTGCGTCCAGTGTCCCTAAAAGAACCAAAATAAAATTTTGAATGCTAACATTTACAGAATTAAATATGGGACTGATAGTATATACTGTGATAACATATATGATTTTTAATGTTAAGGACAATATATTTAGCATTTCAAACATCACAAACTTGGCAAGGTAAATAGCACAAAAACACAATATAGAAGAAGAAATGATGACAGGTGAAGTCCAACAGCTTCCTCATCTATAAAGTTAGATCCTCTTTTACACCATGGAGTGTAATTTTGGAAGAGAAAACTAAGCATGTTGACAAATGAAAAACAAAGGCCAATCTGATTGAATGACCACAAGGAAGAAAACAATCATTCTCACTATTTGAAGAAAATGCACAGACAACCATGAGGAGTCATAAGTTGATCAAGCCGGGGATAATGATAAACATTCAGCAAACATTTTAAAGCAAAAGAATGATTGATTATCTGGGCTAAAATCATTACTCACAAGTGTGTAATGAAGAATTTAGTTTGTTTGACAGATCCTTCAGTTGAAACAGTTCCCTTGGCTACATCCAATCCCAATTCTTTCAATGCTTTCATCTGCCCATTCACAAACATGGACAATTCAACAGAAATTCACCAAATGAAGAAGCATTTTTTTTTTCCTTTTTCCTTTTCTTCTTTCAGAAATCAAGACCACCCAACAATAGAGGGAGTAAAGCAGCTAATCTACTCATCTACATTACAACTTCTCCAGAATCACCCTAACAAATTTGATTAATATTCAACAATTCAATAAATCTTTGGATTCCAATCAACAATAATACCCTATCCCCAAGGAGATCCTTTCACATAGGGAATACAACTCAACCTCCTTCACCATCTCCTTACCTAGCATGTATGTAACTATCTCACACTTCCACATTTAAGTACACAGAAAAACTGAAATTACTTGCATAATAACTTTGGTTATGCCACTTCTATGATCTAGCTCCACACATAATTTTATCTCAGTAATAACGTCAAAACGTCCATTAAAAAAAATTAATAGTCACCTCACCGTGTCAATGAGAGCACCCAAACGGTCTCCAAAGCTGAGTTGCACAACCGTTGCATCTGAATCTGAGTCTTGATCAATCAAAACTATTGGCATTGGAACATAATCATCATCTTGTTCAGATTTCTGCAATTAAATTTAACTCGGCATCAGACTCCTGGAACATAAAGGATTCAACATTCCTAAAAGTTAACTTGGCATAATGAGCAACACTAAAAACTAAACAGTTCACTACAAAAACCAAAAACAAAATTCAGCAATAAAGAATCAGGCAACAATAAAGACTCCAAAAAAAAAAAAATCAGATTATGATTCCACCAGATAAATCTCACTCACCAATGATGTTGAACTCGCCGCATTGAAACCATTGTTGGTAGCGTACATCAGGTTCCTGCACAACAGTTGAAGACAACGAAATCAAGCACTAAAATAATCTAAAGAAAGATTAAACTGAAATGAAAATCCGATCATTCTCTTTAGCTCCGTTTCTTTTCTTCCGAAAGCTAGCATCATACTACAGTCGGCTCGCTTCAATACAATACATCAGTAACGATTCTCTCAAACACTCAGAACAGGAAAATACAGTGCAAGAAACAAAACCAAAGATGTTCGCAAGAAAATAGAGGCGGAAGACTGTAAAAGAAGATTCATATTCATTCTCTTTCTAGAAAAACAAACAAAAGGAGAAAGAAAAGTTGCAAGATCTTCTTACTTTCTTGTGGAGAAAGCGATTCTAACTCCATACGCAGGGAGCTTGAGGCGAGATGAGTGAAAATGAGAGGAGTGAGCGACAAAGACGGGATCGAGAACGATCGATCGACGGCGAGCAACCGAAGAAGAGGAATAAAGAGAGAAGATGGAATTCGCGAGTGCCATTGAAATCGGAGACGAAGGAGTAGGAATCTGTTTCTTTCCCTTTTCAAAGCTCTGCTGAATTACTGACGACCAAAACATTAAACACACTCTGCTGCGGGAGGAAATATATATTTTTGTTTGATATCTCGGAATAATATGAAGCGGGGTACGGTGTAACTTTTGTGGGACCCATGATCGGTTTTGGATGACACGTCATCAAAATTGTCGGACTTTCCTCTGTACTCTAGCGGAGTCATTCCAAACCGCACCGCCAACTAACAGAATATAGTGTATTACACGCGCCGCCGCTGGCACGGCAATCGTAATCCAATAGAGTTTTGGAGCAGAATCCAGTAGGATTTTTAAGGCCCAAAATAAAAATCCAGCGGGCTTTCGAGGGCCCAAAATTAAATTTTTATGGAGTCCCTGAACTTGTTCACTTTTTGCAAACAAGGCTCTAAACTTTGAGCTTTACGTATCGTATCATACTGCAAAAGTGGACAGGCCAAAACACAACGGCCTAATCTTAATGTCACCTTAGCCAAAGAAAATGGCAGCGATGGCGCGGCTGCAACTCCTGCACCTTCGGGCTCCCTTCGTCAAATCCTCTAGAGTCCTATCTTTTCCTTACTCAACCAATCTGCGCGCTTCTCATCGCCGCCAATTCTCTGGTACTCCGCCTCTCTGCTGCTCTTACTCCTCCTCCGAGGTAGCTCGTCTCTCTTGCATCTTTATCTGTGCGCGTATCTTTGTTTTCTCCATCTAAATGGTTGGCGAAATGAAACAATTGCAGAGCTTTCCGGCGTCGAACGGTGGATCGAGTGCTTCCATAGTTGGAGATCTTCTCGACTTCCTCAATGAATCCTGGACTCAGTTCCACGCCACTGGTATGTGAAACCATGCTGGACCCAGCTTTAAAAAAAAAAAAAAAAGAGAAGCTCGAAATGTTTTTTAAGCTCTTGATTTTACTCAAAATTTTGCATTTTTAGTTGATATTATCCTCTAATTTCCTTAATTTGGTTTTCATTTCGTTTAAATCTCCTTTTGTTTAATTTCTTTTCAGCTGAAGCAAAAAGACAGCTAATTGCGGCTGGTTTTCACTTGCTAAATGAGAATGATGAGTGGGACCTGAAGCCTGGAGGAAGATACTTCTTCACTAGGAATATGTCTTGTTTGGTTGCTTTTGCTATAGGAGAAAAGTGAGTTGAAAATGGAATATTTTGGAGCCTTGATTTTGTGTTATGGGGAGTCCTTAAAGCTTGACTGCTCTTAGCTTTGCAGGTACAGTGTTGGTAATGGCTTCCACGTTATTGCTGCACATACTGACAGTCCATGCCTCAAACTTAAACCAAAATCAGCTTCATCCAAATCTAATTACCTGATGGTGAATGTACAGACTTATGGAGGTGGTCTGTGGCATACTTGGTTTGATAGGGATTTAAGTGTTGCAGGAAGGGTCATAGTTAGAACTAGCAATGGTTCCTTTGTGCATAAGCTTGTTAAAGTGAAAAGACCTCTTCTACGAGTACCCACACTGGCCATCCATCTTAACCGGTTCTCTTCTACTTCTTTAAATCTTATGCCCTGTGATGATATTACAAGTTGCATTTCTTCTTAATCATAGAGGAAATATATACATTATTCTTTATGGCAACATATCTTCTCACTGGTGTGTCTCTCTCTTTTTTTTTTTTTGGTCATTGTTTAGTACAGTGAACACAGATGGATTCAAGCCAAACCTAGAGACTCATCTTGTTCCACTACTTGCAACAAAACCAGAAGAACCATCTTCAGAATCAAAAGAGAAGAGCACATTATCTTCCAAAGATGCTCATCATCCACTACTTATGCAGGTATTATATTTAGGTTTTTCCTCTTTTTTTTTTTCATATATGGATGAACCCGTTTTTCCAATTGGTTGTTATTGTACTGTTAACAGCTGTAACATTTACTGCTAAAAGTTTCTGATATTTACCTTTGATGTTATGATCAATTTCCCATGTTATCTCTCTGATAATGGTCTACCGATGTGATCCAAGTAATATATGCAGTGCTGAAGCATTTCTCTTACAATTGGTCTATGACACTTGCAGATTTTGTCAGATGAGTTGAGTTGTAATGTGGATGACATTGCCAATATTGAGTTGAACATTTGTGACACGCAACCCAGCTGCCTTGGAGGTGCAAACAATGAATTCATATTCTCTGGAAGATTAGATAATCTTGCTTCAAGTTATTGTGCTTTGAGAGCTCTGGTTGATTCATGCGTGTTGCCTGTGGATTTATCAAGTGAACATGCCATACGAATGATTGCTTTATTTGACAATGAGGAGGTAAATTTTGGACAGAGCTTTCTTTCTTTCCTGTAAGCTTATTAGCTGAATCTAAGACTATTAGCAAAAAAAAAAAAAAAATGTGGACTTTATTATCTAGGTAGTTATGTCTTTAATTTGAATTTTTCAGTTGACATGTGCTTCTGGATACGTGAAATTTGCCTGCCAGCATTGCCGTGTAAACTAACTTGAATGCTGTACAATTTGCTGAAAATGAAAATTTGTGATGAAATAAATTTTGTACTTTTAGAATCCTTACTTATTGCTCTTCCTTTACTGCTTTGAAAGCAAATATTATCAGGCAGAATGGTTTGGGAGATTTTATTTCTAGACTACCTGTAAAATAGTAAAACTAGGGCAGCAAGTGCTGGGGGTGGTGGGTAATTGGGCCACAGAATGCTGTTCTAAACTCTAAGGTTAATTGCTTCTGATAAATGCATTTAATGTTCTCAAGTGAACCTGATTAAAAATTCTTATTGTTTTGACAGGTTGGTTCAGATTCATTCCAGGGAGCTGGTGCACCAACCATGTTCCAGGCTATGAGACGCATTATTGGTTCCTTATCTCATCAGTATATTGGTGAAAGTGCCTTTGATCGTGCAATTCGCCAATCTTTTCTTGGTATGCTTTCAATTGGAAGCTTCCTTTTCTAGCATATTGAAACTCTCATAAAGCTCCATTCTCATTGCTGCTTCTACTCATTAAGATGGCCTTTTCAATTTGTAAGCCATTTCCATTTTTCAAGACGAGAATGGTTCAAAAGAAAGAAGCAGACAACTGATTGGCTCACATTCATTAACCAAAGCTTGAGCTTAAAATTGCTGAAATGGTGTTCTATTATCATTAAAGGATGTTTAAAATGCTTTTGATATGTTTCAACAAGGACATAATGCATCAATGCAACTGTAGGAAACAGAGATCTAGGGTACATGTATTTGCAGGATAATTAAAGATGGGGTGATGTCTCTGTAATAACTAATCATCCTTGTTTGATGCTTAGGAATATCAGTTGACCTAATAAATTATAGAAACTGTAACTTTTTTTGGTAAATTGGGTGGATTGCTATCTTTAGCAAGAATGTAGTTCTCCCAAATCTGTTCTGTTGTATGAATGTTTTCAATAATATTTTCTGGGATTTCATATAGTATCTGCTGACATGGCCCATGGAGTTCACCCAAATTTCATGGATAAGCATGAAGAACATCATCGACCAGAAATGCATAAGGGTCTTGTTATCAAGCACAATGCAAATCAGCGTTATGCTACTAGTGGAATTACAGCTTTTCTCTTCAAAGAAGTTGCAAAAATTCATAACCTTCCAACTCAGGTAAGTCCATTTTGGTCATCATAATATTGTAAACAAAAGTTTTGGCTTCTTTGTAAGATCTGGGTTTCAATCAAATAGATCTCTTCTAAACAGGAGCTTCAAAGTTATATAAAATTTTTGAGAGGTAGAGCTGACACTAAAATGAACCTAGAGTTTATCCAGTTAGTTTCCATATTGGTCAAATTCTGAAATCTGATCTTACTAGTGTGAATTACTGCATTGTCTTCAGTTTCTAGACATGTTAACTGGAGGATTAATTCTATTCCTAGTGTCTCATCTATCAACTTAAACCTTTATAGAGTATGAGTTTAGGTTTTGAAAGAAAAGGTGTTGAGAGATAAGTGTTTGAAGGAAATATGAAGAATGGGATAAACCCATCAAACTATAATTTTTCACAATGGGTAGTTTTACAGTCTAAAAGTTTGTTCACAGATAAGTGGTTGAGGTTGTTAGAGTTTCAGAATTTCAGTAAAGCATCATTCTATTAAAGTCAACTTTCAAGAAGTCTAAAGAATTGATTCCCTGTCATTGTGTCTTGACCTTTGGTTTAGATTCCCACAACCAAACACAGTCGATGAGCATTTCTGCTCATGGCCATACGAGCTCAATAGCAAATCAGATGACGTAGTAACATGCTTTTTCTTTTTCCTTTAGGAATTTGTTGTAAGGAATGATATGGGATGTGGATCCACCATTGGTCCCATACTTGCTTCAGGGGTTGGCATTCGTACTGTTGACTGTGGCATTGCTCAGCTTTCTATGCACAGGTATAATATTTAACTTAGTCACTGGTCATGTAACCTGGCCAAATAAACAATCCATGTGTGGATAAATTGGTATCTTGTGAAGTCAAAATATACATTTTTTTATTGCTTTATTTGCCCTCCCTTAAGGCCTTGCTATTTCACAATAAAATTTGATTCATAAGACTTATCTAATTAATTACCTTCTTACTCCATGCCTCCATTACTTATTATCAGAAAGATAAATAAGAATCAGCTTTCTAGGACATGGTAAGCAGAACTAGCGCATTGGTTCTTTGCAGATTAATAGCATATTTTGGAGTATTTTGACGGCCACTTTACATCCAGGACCACTCATGTCTATTCCATTTCTTTTCCTTCTCTTTATTTGCAGTGTCAGAGAGGTATGCGGAACAGAAGATATAGACATTGCTTACAAGCATTTCAAGGCATTTTACCAAACTTTCTCCAGTATAGACAGGAGGCTCATTGTGGACTGATTGTAAAGTTTATATTTATTAACATGTCCATTCAGACAGACAGACAGAGAGAGGTGAAATTCATTTTTCTTATATATCTTTAGCTCTTAGAACTTCATCATTTAACAAAAATATAAAATATTTTTCCTAGGAGATAGATATTGGATGGTAAGAACTAGTAGAGTACTGTGGTTAAAATAAATGCTCTCAATACTTTGCCTCTCTATGGTTGGCATGGAACAAAGAGTAGCAATGTGGATCTGGTCCATGAATTTCATTTATAGAATCATGGTTTGCTGGACTCATTATGTTTTGAGGTGGAAGTGGAATCTTCGCTAGGGCATTGACTGGTGCCTGCTTTTGTAAGCTTTTGCTTCAACTCTGACAACAGAACCTGGTTCTCCTGATTAAGCTGTTGAGCCTTCTTCCTCAGCCGCTCATTTTCTTGTATTATGTGGTAGTTCTGCCAATATAGCTGTGAGTTAGCCTTATCCATACCTTCTTTTATGTTGCCCTGAACTCATGCAAAACATAGATGAAAGAATCAGAAAAATAGTAAAGTCAGGTGGTATTCCTGAACTTGTTTTCCATAAATGCTTGAATATTTAGAGAATAGTAAAGGAAAATGAATTTCAGAATTTGATTGAGTTGCACATAGATTATAGTGGCATGCTAATTTCGTCTCTTCTCTTCTGGATCACCGTTTAAGTTGTGTCTTGTGCCACTTAGAAGAACAGCTGGACTTCGGTTTTGGTGAAAGAGGATATGAGAAACAAACCTGGAAACCTTGAACTGAGGGGAAAGACAGGAACAAGAGGCAAACCTCTGTCAAAGAAGACCGACGGAAGCTAGAGTTGTGGGTTTGGTTTAAATATACTGCAAACACAATGAGAGGCAGAAACAAGGGTCTGAAAACTGCAGGATGGGTTGCTCAAAACAACAGACACCCATATGCAAAGCCTTCTTGTCTGCCTTTTTCCAGTAGGAGGAACTTGATTGCGTTCAACTTTAACCGTTTAAGATACACAAGAGATTGTGAGAGAGAGAGAGAGAGAGAGAGAGAGGCAATCACTGAGATTTGAAAAGAATAACAAACTTTATAAAGTTGTTAGAGGGATGCATAAAAGTGGCTTGTGTGCAAAAAAAAAGCAACCTGAAAAAAGGGAGATGCTTAAGCAATAGGATGAGGCATTGATGCTCAAATCTCAATGGAGTGATATGCATGTGTATTGGTAGCTTCTGTGCACGAAAGGCATCTGTAAGAATTTTGAGGTTCATGTGATGGCAGCATATGTTACCAATTGCGATGTGAAGAGTAATTATGGCACTTTCGCATTGAATTTAAAATTGAAAAACGTAGATTAAATTTGAATTCATTTGCAAATTGCAAATTCTCAAAGTGGATTTTTTTAGAAACCAAATAAAATCACTTCCGTTTTATTGCAACTATCTCCAGTGTGTTAAAGAGTCATACAACTGAGATTCATCAGTTTCTTTCTTTCTTTCTTTCTTTCTCTCTTCTTCTCCTTCTTCGTTTTTCTCTTTTGGATTTAGTAGGGTGTTTTGGGCTAACTTGTGCACACTTGAGATTAATTATTCTCTACTCAATCAAAGCATAACATCTACATTTGAGATTGGAATTTATGAATTACTTTCTTATTACCTTTTCCAAAAAAATCAAATTGAAAAGAAAACTTCCTCACCAGCTAAATCAAAACTCCTAAGAAAGTAGTCAAGAAATTGATGCTTGGTGTTTCATCAATTTTTGATTCTCAAGGAATTTTAGAAACTCTAAAATTAAACGAAAACACTATATTGGACGGTTTTGGCTTGGATTCACCTCCTCTAGTTTATTAACGGTACTCCCCTAGCACCAACGAACTTATGTAATCTTAACATTTTGAAAACCGTCCATCATATTTTTGACCTATGCCAAAGCTATATTTCATGCATCTCTAGTTTTTCCTCTCAACAAAGAACAAATCCATCATTATAGCAACCACGAATCAGGGTCTACAGGTTTTCAGATGGTTAGTTGTAAATATTTGTATGAACAAGCAGAAAGCAGTCGAGAAGTTCGATATTAGACTAAATCAAATACCCATATGGTACATTATTATTTCAACAGACAAATTTTGTAGTGAAGCATAGTCATCAGTCATGATCAGAGCTGGACCTCTGAAGCTCCAGCAAGCCAAATTTAATTTGCCTAGAGCCCAGTTTTTGGAAAATATCCACCATCCATATTCCACTTGGCTCCTCAACACTGTAAGAGAATAGAGAAAAGCATGTTTATATGGACCTTATAACACGGATGCAATGAAGGAAAACCAAAATTGCTTTTGCATACAAGGGGTATCATTTTCACAGGACATACATACCTACACTGTAAAAGCGTGTTTACAGCCTTAGCCTCCAACAGGTTCTGATCCGACATCTGCTCATCATCATCAATGGCAATCGATCTGCCAAACACAGAAGAGAGCTTCTCTATCCTTCACCCATAAGATTGAAGAAGCTCCAAAGAGAAACCGAGACTGGTGGAATAAATCAAAGCACATACTCATAACTGCAGCACAACACTCCAGTCCACCTCGGTTCTCCATGCCTGCACTCCTGCCCATTTATACATCAAGCCTGAGCTTATGAGCTGATGATGTCTCAAAATGATTTTTCTAGCAGGCAGGGTGCAGGCATGGCCCAAGCCCCTCACCGGGGCCGGGCTAATCCAAAACTTGCATCAGGTTGCAGTTGATGAGACTACAGCACATAATTTAAACAAAATCAGAAATGGAAACTGGTGAAAACAAAAGGAGCATGCAGGGACTAAGGCCCCAAGCCCCCTCCCTTACCGAGATGTATTTGAAGGGAATACAGCACAATATGAGAAGGAATAAGAGATGGATGTGTCACTGGAATTTTCAAGAGCAAACTAGCGGCTACTTTACAGATACTGGAGGGGCAGTAGAGAGGGAGGGAAGAGACTATAGGAGAAACTATTAGTGTGAAACTTGCTGAAACTTTCAGTTTCTCATCCATAATTATAATTTACACCGCTTAGAATTACATTTAGAAAATAATTAATAACAAATATTGACAGTATCTATACCTGTGAGAAAGGTTGGTGAATGTGCTCTGCAGGGTGGATAAAAGGCATTGAAGGATGCTGGCAAGGATACTGTGTTGAATGCAAATATATGGCCGATGTAGAGCGCACACCTGCATGATTTGGATTGAAAGGTGGCATCATTGTTTCTGGATGACCATAACTGATTCCTGGTGGGGTTGATGGTGCAGCCCAAAGTCCAGGTATATGCTGAGGGAGAGGACGAGGCTGATGTTCAGTAGATAATTGAGGCCGATGAGTAGATCCAAGTTGCGGAAATTCAGTGTTATAGTTCAATGCAGGAGTGTACATAGGTTGCAGTGTGTATGGTCCACTGTTGAACCCAAACCCAGGATCAAATCTTTGCATGTACCTGGAAAGAAAAATTACTATGAAAAGCTTTACAGTTTATGTAAAGAATTTATGATTGTGACAACTGATCAATGCGATACAACTCATAAAACAATCATGCAAACAAGGGACCAGTGCCACTTTTATTGTTGGTGCATGCACCAAACACTTATCATAGTTCAGTCACTAAATTAACATATTGAAAATCATTTGAAATTGATGTATAGTGTTAAACAAGAAAAACAAACACCCTAGAAATATACTAAACTAAACGCAAATTCAGAAATTAATTTGTCTTCAAAGCACAACCACCATACCTATCATAACTTCTGTCATAATCAGGGTCTTTGCGCTCAGTTTCACGGTCACGAAAGATTGCCACCCTATTATTTGCTCTGTGCCTACCAGCTGGCTCCTTTTCCAACTTACTTCTAGCTGACCTACTGTTATTCATGGAGGAATCATTTGAGCTTCTACCAGAATTTACCTCAGAAACTCCAGAAACAGGTTTCTCTTCCATCTTTGACATCCCAGAGGAACCATGATAGGAACCATCCTGTAGTCTTTGTTCATTCTCTGGCTTTCCACCACTAACACTGCTAGAACTATTAGAGTTAAATATCCTTGCTCGAGCTCTATTATACTCCTCTTTTCTTTCTTCTACACTTCTAGCGCTGTTTGTTTTCGGAGAATTAGTATTCGAGTTGCTAGCAATCTGTGAATGTTTCTGCGGCCTCTGCTTAATTGCCACTTTACCAACACCACTGTCTTCTGTTGGTAAATTTACAGGAATCTCTGCAAGGCGAATTGGAGGAAACCTACACTCAGGAGTCTTGCGGACAATGATTCTAGAACCAGAACCATCAGGTAAATTGTTGTCTAGTAAAACCATGGACTGCAAGGAGTAATGCTGTGCCACACGGTGTGCAGCCAGCCTTAAATAGGAAGTAGGCAGTTGCTGAAACTCTAATTGTTGCTGAGTGGGATCACGGATGAACTTTTCAACATCTTGCTCCATCCGTAGAACTGTATAAAAGAAATAGTAAGAATAGGTAAGATTCATGGTTAGATATGGAAAAGAAATACCACACATGGACAGTACTCAAAATTGTTCCACATTGCCACAATAACTAAACCAACATCTTATTATAGTACCAACCTTGATTCAACAATAATGTCTCTCCCATAAATAAACAAGCAACAATACTATTATTGTAAGTAAACAACTAGCTTGGCAGATGATGCACATATTTCAGGAAACTGCTACTAAAGAGAAAACAGCACCTAGTCCAACCAATCCACAAAAAGCAAACATCTTTCACTACCAACCAACATCCAATATTATATACACATTGCTAAGGTGACATCTCAACTGCCTATCCAGCACAAGCACTTCAATATTCAACATGTAATATGCACGCCCAGGTGCAATATACACATGTTTTAACCTGAATATTTAATACTTACCAGAAAGGCGCTCACGGGGATTTTGGATAGCCTCGCGGAGAAATTGATCAACCTGATTGATCAAATCCTCGGACATAACCTTCTCAGACGATGCAGAAGGAGCCGAAGCTGCAACTGAAGACCGAGCATCATCGAACACTTGTTTAGATTCCTTCTTCGAGGAAAGCATCAAACGGTTCATAGTGGCATCCAAATCGGCCACCTCCCATGACTCCGGGGCCCCAAGATCCTCCACCACAGAGCCGTCCATGGTGGAATCTGGGCGGTCTTCTACGGAATTCTGTGAAAAATAGTATTGCTATGGCTTTTGGTGACGGAAATTGTAAGTCATCAAATATCGTCCCAAAGGCTCTCGACAGAGAAGATAACCCCAGTGTTTATCAATTTCATGTGAAATTCTTTCAAGGGTTAGGGTTTGCGATTTTGGAATTGAGGCAGGAGAGAGAGAAAGGGAGAGGGTTTGACGATTGTGTAATATTTTCTCACGTGTCTAGCCCTTTCTGTAGCAACCTCGTTATAAAACCGGGCAATGAAATTCACAAGTGATATTTGCATGTTCATCATAAAAGTAATATTTGCATGAAATATGGTACCAAATTTTAGTATCTTACAGGTGGTACATTGGTATATCTGATAATGATAAATTATATTAAAGAAAATATTTGTTTTAAAATTTTTTATTGTTTGATTTAATATTTGACTTTGAGATTTTTATTTTAAATTTTTAAAATTTTAACTATTGAACTACTTTATTATTGTCATTTCTCATCAATTTCTTAATTTTGATATGGATAGTTTGCCTAGATTGAAAAAGAATTAGTCTTAAAATATAAGGTAAGTTAGTCTAAGAAACGAAAAAAAAAAAAAAAAAAAACCATTAGAGCATGCAGAAAACATCCCTTTTAATATGTCAGATAATAAAACTATATAGTAGAAATAATCTCATGGCAAACCCTTTATTGTTCATCTTAAGTTGTAAGCTCTTAATTATAGTTTTGACCTCGAAATACACTTGACGTGAAAAATAAAAAATAAAAAAATGCCTTGACTTAAAAAATTGAAGCAACAGAAAGGTCAGGGTTGAAATTGAATAAAATAGAAACTCGAGATAGAATTGAAAGCGCATTGAAAAGATTGAGGATCAAAAACAACATTCACCGTTTTCAGCGAACAAAATGTTCAAGCGCGTAAATTTAATAACAGTTGGGAGTTCAGGGATGATAAAAGGCGGCGTCGGAAGATTGTTAAGGAGAGTCTCTCCTCCTCAAGCTTACCAATCCTTCACCGGGAATTCTACAATCACTTTGCGTCTAATCTCTCGCCGCTTCATCTTCGCTCCGTTGGTGACAGCAAATCCTTCGTTTTTGGTTAACAGACGTCGAGATTTTGCAGGTTCTTCCCATCTTGAGTTGTTGACATCTTCTTTGCTTCCTCAAAAATGGACCAATTTCATAGGTTGGTGCACTATTTTCTTGTTTTATCAAATTGTTTGTGCTGTTTCTGATGTTGTTCTTTTCCTCGGATTCCAAGCTGAAAACTTTTAACACTAATCCTTTACAACAAATTTCGAATCTTTCATGACCCTCTTTTGAGATCGGAGGAATTGAGAGGTTTGAACTCGGTATTAATTAATTTGGTGGTGGTTTTGCACAGGGCAGAGCAGAACCATGTTTATTCAAACTCAATCCACTCCCAATCCTTCTTCACTGATGTTTTATCCTGGGAAGTCGGTTATGTATGTGGGTAGTGCTGATTTCCCCAATGCTCATTCTGCTATGAATTCTCCATTGGCAAAAGACTTGTTCGGCATTGATGGTAAGCTCAGCATAATTATGGATAGGGTACAGTTGTTTGACAATTGACATTTTGAGAGGAATTATCATAAAGTCATTTCTTAGGAATTTTCTTCTTCGTTTAAGTATCAAAAGAACAACCTTTTATTCTTATGTTATAGACATAGTTTGCAATATTTATATTGATAGTGAACTGATAAATAAGGTAAATTTGGTTGTTTATGATTCAGGTGTTACTAGAGTTTTCTTTGGATCTGATTTTGTAACTGTGACAAAATCAGATGATTTCTTCTGGGATCTCCTCAAGCCTGAAATTTTTGCAGCAATTATGGACTTTAATTCTTCTGGGCAGCAGCTGTTTCTGGACTCAAAAACTGCAGCAGCCATGGACACTGCTATTCGTGAAGTATATTTTTTAAGTTCTACTTCTGAGTGTTAGGAACAGGAACATCAGATAATAATCACCTTTGTTACATGCAAATGATCTTTTATGAAGTTTAAAATAGATGAAATGTTAATGGTTTCTACTGACATATCACTTGAATAGAATAATGTATTCCAGATAAGTCAGAAAGATCTGAAGAGAAACAGAGTGCCAATAATCAGAACTTAAGCTTTTAGTAACTTAGTCTTATTACTTGTTTTATTGACTGTTTTTCTTTTCGCCAATCTAGAAATGAGATTTTTTGTTAATGTTTAGAAGAATCTTTTATGTTAATGATCTGACTATGCATAAACTTTTAATATCACACATACTAAAGGATGACTCGGAAACTGTTGCAATGATCAAAGAGCTGCTGGAAACTCGTATTCGGCCAGCAGTACAAGATGATGGTGGAGACATAGAGTATCGAGGATTTGATCTGTAGGTTTTTCTTCATTTAATTTAATTACTTTTCTTGTTTAAGAAATAACTCAGGCATGTTCTTTGTATTTGCTTTTGTGAGCTGGAATTAATGAAATTTTACACCTTTTCTAGAGACACTGGAATTGTCAAATTGAGGATGCAAGGAGCATGTAGTGGCTGCCCGAGCTCATCTGTCACTTTGAAATCTGGCATTGAAAATATGCTGATGCATTATGTACCCAAGGTAAAAATTAGCAGCAGGAACTCTGCACGCATCTTTTAAGCTATTACCGATGAGTTGTGTGGATTAAAACTAGAGGCTGCTGAAAACCAGACAGGACTGGCAGCTACCTCCCCCTTAAAACTACCTTCATATTTTCCAATAGGTAATCTTGAATTGCATTCCTCAAATTATAACGATTGCTTGAAAGTAAAATGTTGAGAAAATGAGAAAATTGTGGATCACTCATATGGCCTTCTGCCTTAAGCAAGAATTGCATCATCATCAATCTCTTGGTCTTCACGCATGCTTGGACATGCACTTATCATGACAGGATTAGAAAATACCAATGGCATTTTCTTGATCTGGAGACCCAACAAAATTCAATGAAATGCATTTCGGAATTCAAAACAATACTGTTTTGCAAGATCTAATGGCCCCTAGGTGTAACAAGAAAAGTAGGCCTTCTCACACTTGTTAGGTAGCAAGTTCTGTTGTTAGCGCTAGTGTCATCCTTACCCACTCTAATTTTAATATTGATAGTTTGGCAAGACATGCTTATTGATAAGTGGGTGTTTCTTTACCCCTATTTGTTTTGTTTACTTGTATGGAGATTATTCTGAAACAGGTCAAAGGCGTAGAGCAGGATTTAGATGCTGAAGATGAGGAGGCAGCATTAAGTGGCCGGATGGAGTAACGAAATACATGGCCCTGTTCATCATTTACTAATTTACTAATCCGATATGCAGTAGTGTCAGTAACTTCCTGTACAGGAGCAAATAAATTTTGCTGATTACTTCATTTTGTATGTGTTGGAGGAGCATCGTGTTTATTCATGTAATTAGTTGCAACATCCAATTATGTGTATGAGTTGACGTTGGATGTACAAACATTGTACTAATCTTGGAAGATTGAACACTGTCAGCCATGCTTGCAGTCTATTTAAAATTTTGGCACAAAGCTAATTGAAAATACTTCACTGTATACTCTGTGTCCAATTTTGCGATTGTTTGCTTTCTTCTGTCTTACAGCACTATATCTGTAGGAAGACTGTGGAATGGTCCAATTGATATGGTAATGGGAAACGATGCAAATTATTGTGCAGTGGATCGAATTTCTAATTATTAAAGTTAAATGTCATAATGCTCTTTATAACAGGCAAGTACAATGGCAAAGGGCTTCAGAATCAATCACCTAATATATGGATCCAAGCCTTGAATTTTCTTAAATATATACATGATAATAAAACAGATCTTGAAAGCCTCCTTTTTATTGCTACACTTAAACTTCTTTAGATTGAAGAATTTGGATCTTAGTTCTTTTGTTTGATGACAAAGATAAGAAAAGTTTTGAGCTGTTAGGCAAAACCCATTCGAATCTTTGATGCGAAGGGGTAAAGACAAGCAAAGATGATTTTTTTTTCTTTGTTTGTTTGTTTGTTTGTTTGTTTTTTTTTTTTTTTTTTTTTTTTTTTGTGGAGGGGAGGTGCGGAGGAAAGGGGGAAGGAGGTAATGTCCAAAGGACCAAAGGGACACCCCCCTGGCAGGGCCCTACTTTTGGACAGTAGGCCTAATTCAACAAGCCCCCATCTCCAAAACACACGACCCACAAATGCCAACCCGTGCACATCTCTCTTACCTCCTTCACTCCTGCATCTTTTTCACCCTTACTTATAGCAATGTACCCCACGTACATTACCAAACATTCAAACCACAACCGCTTTTTTAGTTACTTTGCTTTTTCTCTTTCTTTGTCATTGTAAGAGTGATCGAATACTTATCGTTTTATTGCCTGAACGACAGAAGGTGTAGGAGAGTTGAGAGGAGTGGTGGAGATGGCGACTAGAGCTGCTGGGTTGGCGGAGCTGAAGCCTTTGGTGAACCTGTTGCTGCCTCTTTGTGTGCATTGGATTGCAGAGGAGATGACTGTTTCTGTGCTTGTTGATGTTGTGACTGATGCTCTTTGTCCTGGTGAATCTACCTGTTCCCAGGCAATTTACATCAGTGGTATTCAACAAACGGTGAGTTTTTGCTTTCGCTCCTACCCTCTTTTATGTTTGGTTCTCCCAAGTTTTTGCTTTCGCTCCTACCCTCTTTTACGTTTGGTTCTCCCAAAAAAACAGCAAAATGAAATGGGATAATTCAAATTCTACTTGATTCTTGAACTTTCTTTTTCTTCAAGTTGCAGTCTGGAAGGGTTTGAATTATTTATAAGCTGTCATTTTCGATTTCATTTTCCTCTTGGACAATCGTCAAGTTTGGATTTTTAAGCATTTGTTTGGTGTTGGTAGATGTATGTTCCACAAGGCTGTTGAAAGTATATAAATTGTTATTTTATTGATTTCTGCATTGATTAATAATTAAGATCTTACAATGTACTAAGATATAACCTTTTGGTTTATTCACTTATTAAATTAGGATTAGGATCCCATTATTCTTCTCTGTCTTTTCCAATGTTGCTATAAGTTCCTAAATTTCTCTAAATAATTAACCCAAATCCAAATACTATCAAGATTCAACAATCTCCTTTAGCCTGTAGAATAGATTTGACATTTGCTCTAAATTTTGTGTACACAGTGGAAAGTTGGCCGAAAGTTGGCCAAAAGAAAAAATATCCAATGGATCATGGACTTTGATCATACACAGTGGACAAAAGGACTGATGTAGTCCATCTCAACTAACTTAGGTTTGAAGGGTAGTTGAAATAAGACAAGTCCATTTACACAAATAGTTCTAGATATAAGAAAATTGCAATCAAGTGATGTGTAGACTTCTGCAGTGCTATAGGCATTCATTTATGATGGTTGAGAGCTGAAGCTCATAAAAAATGAAAAAAGTCGACGTGGGCTTAGAATGAAGTGGGTTCCTTCATTTTCAATACCATGATGAATATTTTGAATATAACACAATGGAGATTATTGGTTCCTTGAGTGCAAAATATATATTCACCACATCTGTGGTCCCCTAATATTCCCCTTTTTCTTTTTAACTGCACCTTGTTATTTAGATACATGATTGTGACCTTCATAGTCAATATTCTGCCTTAAAGTTAAAAAATGGTGGGGCAGAAACATGGATGTAAACATGAATTGTCCAATGATGAAGTAAAAGAAATATAAAAATAGCAGTCATGGTTCCTTCTTTCTTTTTTCCTTTTTTCCAATTTTCTATATCCAACGTTCTTCACTTTTGATGAGACAAGAAGGAAATCACTGTGGCTCAGCCCAATATCTCTTCCAAATTATTTTCCCTTTATTTATAATTGATTTATGATAACCAAAAAAAAAAGGGTTGAATCCTGTCATAACAGAGAAGGTACTTTCTCTTTCAATATCTGCAAATTTCTAAGGTGGACACAAATTTGGCCCAAAGCTAAAAACTAAAAATGCAAACCAAGGTAGTAACAAGTTAATGGGTTTTGTGCTCTAGGTCTTACGATGAGAAATGATTTGTATGTTACTATTAATATTAATGTCTTACAACAGGCTTAGATATATGTTGTTGTCTGTAGGTTGTTGGAATTTTCCAAATGGTGGTACTTCCACTTTTAGGCCAGCTTGCTGATGAATACGGACGCAAACCAATGCTGCTACTCACTGTCTCCACAAGCATTTTCCCTTTTGGTACTTTTGAACTCTGATCAACCTTCTTAAGGGTGTTGCAGTCATATGATTTTATTGGTATCAATAAGATGCGTATCAATAAGATGCATACCAATATGATGGCTCAGAAAAAAAACTCAAGCTATTATGTTCGGTATTCTGCTTCAAAATTATCTTTGTCAAACCACATTGTTGCATATTTATGACGTTCATTACTTCTGCATTTTCTTTTTACAGCTGTACTTGCCTGGAACCAGTCCAGAGATTTTGTTTATGCCTATTATGTTCTGCGCACAATTTCATATATTTTAAGTCAAGGAAGCATTTTCTGCATTGCTGTTGCTTATGCGGTAAGCATTATTATTCATTGATATGAAAATCATGGATGAACCTCAGAAACTGTCAACTATTTCAATTTCCCTTCCTCTGCCAGGCAGATTTTATCAGTGACAGTAACAGGGCTGCAGCATTTAGTTGGATTACCGGCCTTTTTTCTGCTTCACATGTCTTAGGAAATCTGCTGGCACTCTTTCTTCCCGAGAAGTATGTTTTTGGGGTATGTGGGTATTAGCTATCATGCATCAGCCTTAGATTTAGCCTTATTGATATGTTATGCTATCTTTCATGTCTACGGGTTCTAATGCCTATGAGCATTTTTTTTCAGGTTTCAATTGCTCTCCTGATTTGCTGTCCACTTTATATGCTATTCTTCCTGGCAGAGACGGCTCAGCTGCCTCCTAAAACAGAGAACAATTCAAGCTGCCTGATTAAGACAATTCAGGTTCTTCAAAAAAGATACAAATCAATGAGAGACGCTGCAAAAATAGTTATTAGCAGGTACTTAGTGCTTCAAGATACATCTTTTCTCAATCCTCCTTAGTCATTACTCATCACTACCTTCATGTTTTTTCTCTTGAAATGAAAATTCTAATAGATGAAAATGATTATATTTGTGTTGCATTACTAAGGAATTCCATTTTCTTGAAAATTTCAGTCCAACATTGAGAGGCATGTCATATATTTCCTTCTTCTATGAGTTGGGAATGTCTGGAATCAGCGCTGTCTTGTTTGTACGTTTTCTATTAATGCATTACTCCCTACGTTGATTATCATTATAATTATATCGTTTAAAGGCCA